ATATATATGTATATATGAAGCGCAGTTAAATGTCTGTAAAGCAATAAGATTTGATTTGTAGCTGATACAATGCATTAACCTAATGAGTGACCATGGCAGACGGTCGGCTCGAAAACAACCAGAGCAAACATTATTTACAGAGAAACCCACCATAAAACSTCCTGGTTAATCCACTCGTCATTTGTTCTGGTTCATGAACGCGTCTTTTCTAAAATGTTAATTAGCAGTAGAGAAAAYGTTCTGCGTCAGATTTTGCCAAGTTTGTTTGCGTAAGATGGTTAAAAATAAACTTGGGAAGAACAAATGGTTCAAGAGACAACTGAAAGGAAACAAATGAGCTTTTATTATTCAATACATTAAAAAAATCCACCTCAAACATTAAAAATTATACACAGTTCATTGAAACTTTGTAAGGCGTAAAACCATATTTAAGGACAAAAACACTGCACTAAATTCCACTTTTAATTGTTGTTGTCACTAATTCAAWATATCGTGTAAACATTTTAATTTTAATGATTCCTAACTTTAATATTCACACTGGTTTGAATCAGTCATCTAATCAAAAGAAGCCAAATCTGTTTTTTTTACTACGATTTTGTAATAAAGGCATTATAACTTAAGAGCGGCTGCTAATAAAACGGATAGGGATTAATTTTAGGCTGAAACTGAACTTGTAAATAAAGTGATACTCGTCGGTGTGAACAGGAGTTGTGACACGAGCCGCCGTCTCGCAGCGTTTACTTTCATTTTGGTTTCCAGAGAAACAGTGTGGTGTGAAAGACTTTTACAACAAAWTCAAACTTGGGGCGATTTATTTTGGGGGAAAAAAAATCCAACCACAACTGGAAATATTTAATCAACGTAAACCCTGCTTAAAAAACAGTTTATTTTCAGTTTTTTATTTCTGATTAATAGAAAATTTAATTAAACAGAGTTTAATCTAATTTTTAATGCCAACTCTGTTTATTTAGAGGCTTTTTGGTTGTAGTGTGAGGTGGTTTTGTAGTAGCATTTCATAAAAATGTGACTCTGCCTCTTTTTTCCTGTTTCATCAGTGAAGACAAAGTGGAAAATCTTGTTCTACTGGTTTTCCGTGTTGCATGTGTTTACTTGGAAACCTGATTGTAAATATTAAAGGGTCATGGAGGTTAATAAATGTACTATGAATGCTTTTATTTGTCATACTATAACCCTTTTAATTTTAGCACATCCATGTTGATTTCCTTGATGACAGGTGGAGTCGGAGCTCTGATTATGTAACCTGATTGCTGTTTYATTTGATTATTTTATGCATTGTGACAAACATCTCTGTAGACTGTGCTTATTTTGATGCAGCGTCTGCATTTAGTTGCTATTTTCGGTGGCTCGGTGGTCTGTTAAAAGTGTGGTTGTTCCGCCCAGCAGGAGCCTTGCCTCAGACTGGCCTAAAATGGGCAGAAATGGCGCTGAACAAAAGCTGCTTCTCGCTCGTACAAAAGTACTTGAAGCGTTGCAGCCGGGACCAAGCTGCATTACTTTTGCCTGTGCCTCTCAACAGGAAAGGTAGAGCAAACTTTGAGAAAAACAAAACAAAAAAAAGACGATTTTCTGAAAGTCATTTTTGTACTTTGTTAGTAAAGTACTGTAGCCCTAGATTCCTCATGTCCACACACATTACACCACATAGCCTCATTATATCACACCTTTATAACATTTGTTGCACACAGACATGGATGAATCTGTTGGTGTCCTTTAGTTAAACACGTAAAAACCTTCAAAGGTCACTGAAACAACCGGAAACTGACGAAAGTAAAAACAAATAAAATCMAATCGATAATTTCTTTTGAATTAAACTAACCAAATCAATAAAGTTGAACTTGAAAAAATGGTGCCCCTTAGATTGATCATAACCTGACCGTAGATGTGTTAGCTGCAGAAAACTACACGCTGCTTACAAAATTTAGGAAATTAGTGTAAATTTACAGATGGACCGGGTGCTGTTGAAACTACACAACTCCTACTGAAGTTATAAAATCATTTCTCTATCCAAGTTTGCGCAATATATTCTTTATATAATTACAGTAATTGTAGTCGCCTCCACACTTACCAAAGTTTACAAAATTTACGTAAAGTTAGGGATGGACTGGGAGCGGAGATTATGAAAACAACTCAGCTACTGAAGCTGTAAAATTGCTTCCTACTTTGTCTTTCCATGCTAGCGCAAATTATTCTGTATGTAACTAAAATAAGTGGTCATTAGCCCGCTGCTTACGAAATTTATGGTAGTTTACAAAATGTACGTAAAGTTACAAACAGACCGTGACCTACGATTGCAACAACAGCTGAGTTTGTAAAATGGCTGCCTACGTCCTCTATCTAATCCAGTGCAGTTTATTTGTTTGGTCTTCTTCTGGCTTCATAAAATAGTTGGACTCACTCCCACGCTACGCACGAAATTTCCGAAATTTATTATAATAGTATTTATTAATTTCATTAAAAAAAAACACGTTACATACAACAAAACAATACAAATAAACTAAAATGAAAGGCAGCAGCAGAAGAAAAAAATCTTATCTGCTCCTATTTGCAAAAATTATATTAATTTCAAACAATAAWAAAACAAAACAAAAAATTCAACTCCTCAAACTGTGACTCATACAAATGAAACAATTTCATATTTCTTTAACAATTTTGCTTTGATCTTTTTTTACAGGAATTAATTGATCCAATGCTTTTATAATAATTTTCCAGATTATTCCATAGTCTTATAACTTTTACTGAAGTGCATCTCCTTCAAATTTGTTCAGATTTTCAGTTTAACAAACATTTGTAATCCCTTCAAATTAAAGCAGCTTTCCCTCTTATGAAAATTAAATGGGATGTTTGAAGGAAAAACATTTTTACGAGCTTTATACAAAACCTGCAGAATATTTTGTTCAACCAATTCCTCAAATTTGAATTATTTTAATTGATGAAACAATATGTTAGATGGGTGATAGTAATGCTTTCTTGTGATAATTGTTATGGCTCATTTTTTTAAAATAAAAATAGGATTATTTGTTTTATATGCATTTCCTCAGACTGTGGAACAATTTACGTAAAGTTTACGTAAAGTTACAAACAGACCAGGACCTACGATTGTGACAACAGCTGCTGAGGCTCTTAAATTGCCACCTACTCCCTCTATCTAATCCTWCGTATGTGTCTTAATCTGGCTTCATAAAATAATTCTGRTCRTAAGAAATTTACGTAGTGAAAAAATAATAATTCTCAGTGAACCCAAAGATAAACACKGTGCCCTGAGGCGCCACCAGCTGAAAGAATACGTTGTAAAACCAAACCGTTGTTGTTAGTCCTGATGCCCGTCTAGCTAAATGCCCGGACCAGTTGGTTTGTTTTTAAAATCAAAATGAATTCTGTAATTTATTTGGTTTAGTCAGTTTCAGTTATTTCAGTGATCTTGCTGTTTTTTTTTCTTTAACAAAAAGATACAAACTCTTTCCTCTGTGTCTGCCACACTTAGCTTGTTGTCTGTGTGACTTAGTGAAACTCATTTTGATTGATGAATGGTGTTCAGCCACGTTTCTCACTCTGTGTCTCCTCACCGCCGCCRCAGAGAGACAACATGTTCCTGAAGGGCACCAAGCGCAAGTTCTCGGACCCGGGAGAGGAGCCRGCCCCCGGCGGCGACCAGGGCCCCGCCGCGGCTCCGCCCGCCGCGCCGCGGCCGCTGTCGTCGTCCTACAGCCTGCAGCGGCAGTCGCTGCTGGACATGTCGCTCATCAAGCTGCAGCTGTGCCACATGCTGGTGGAGCCCAACCTGTGCCGCTCGGTGCTCATCGCCAACACGGTGCGGCAGATCCAGGAGGAGATGACGCAGGACGGCACCTGGCAGATGATGACGCAGGCCCTGGCGGCGGCCCAGTGCCCCGCCGACCGCCTGGTGGCCACCGAGGTGCTCTGCAGACAGACCGACGCGGCCACRCAGGCCGGGCAGAGCCCCAAGCCCGTCCCCGCGGCGGGCGTGGAGGAGGGCTACCACTCGGAGGAGGTGGTGATGGAGAGCGACGTGGAGACGGAGGCCATCATGTCCACGCTGTCTCCCGTCTCGCCCCAGCTGTCCTCRGCCTCCTACCTGGCGGGTCCCTTCGGAATGGGGCCCTGCTGGGAGGAGGAGGAGGAGGAGGACGGCGACTGCGAGGAGGAYGAGGAAGAGGACAGCGAGGAGTGCGCGTCGGAGGCGGAGGAGGCGGACGAKGACCACCTGAGCGCGGACTCCAGAACAGGTGGGGAGAAAGTGTTCGGGACTTTTGAGATCAAGCACCCGGCGCCGCCCCCGGACCCGGGCCTGGAGGAGCTGTTCTCGGACGTGGACCCGTCCTACTATGACCTTGACACGGTGCTGACGGGCACCCCCAAAATGGGGCCTTACGACTTGCTGGAGAGCCTGTCGTCTCACGGCTCGACGGCCCTGAGCTCCAGCTCCAGCTGCCGGTCCGACCTGAACGAACTGGACCACATCATGGAGATCATCGTGGGCTCGTGAGACCGTCCGCCTCCCTCAGACTCGTTCCAAACTATGCACAGRACACGTGCATGTTTCTGGTATTGTTACCCGCAGATTGTTGGAGGGGGCGGGGTTTGGTGGCGAGGTAGGAAAATTAGGTGCATATTCATTTTTACGTCCAATAATTAAAGCCGTCGGTTTTCTACCTTGTTCATAAAGTCCCAAACTGATGACGTCTGTGAGAAAAACAACCGTTTTCCACCATGAAATCTTAATTTACATAATGTTTGTCTTTGAAACATCCTGTCTTAAGCCCATTTCTACCATCGAGTTTTTACTGTTACAGGTCCGTCACACTACACACACACCCCGATCCAGAACAAATTGTAAATCCAAATCTATTAATCAATGCATATTTTCTTAGGGATGTGAGCAAATATAAATGAGATATATGTATATGTACATATGTGTAAATACAAAATATTTTTTTGCATTATACAGTTAGATTTTTTGCAAGCATCGTTTTTGATATTTTTTTTTCCCTCGCGAGCGGTTTTTAAAAATTTTAAATGTAGCCAGACTTTTTGAGGATGGTGTCTTCCTGGCGGTTCGGTATCGTGGGTCGACTGTGAAGGGGGGCAGGGGGGTCCGGCGTCTGGACCGGCGCCGGGTCGCCCCGATGAGGCGCTGTTCTCTCGTTCTCTGGAGAACGGGAAGATTTACTTCTGAACTAATGTGATTTGTCACGTTTTTTTTWATTTTTTWATTTTTTKGGGGGGTTTTGGTTTCAGTTTTCAAAATAAAAGTACATTTGCAGCTCTGCTTTCAGCGCAGATCCAATAACAATAAGAAGCTGATTGGAGAAAGCCCTGGGGTGCAACGAGAAGCCATTCTGTGTATCAACCCATCTAATTTATTATTTTATTTATTGTATTTATTTTATCTAGGTACAGACATGCCATATTGACTACAAATCCAACCACACGGCCTTGTAAAATGATATTTATCCTAATTTTGTCCTCCATTTTGAATGCAGTACATATTTATTTCTTTTTTTACTGCTYTTATCAGTAATAACTGGGGTTAATATTTAAATTACTATGCAGCTCTTTCATATGACTGTAAACAGCTCAAATGTCCTTACGACCGTTTATGCAAACAGTTGCCTTTCTCCTGAATATGCGAAAAATAAAATGCTTTTTTTTTTCCTTTTTTTTTTTTTCCAAATTGTTTCTGCACCACGAGTGAAACATAAACTCAGGCAAACAAAATCTAAAGTACAGTATTACRACACGCTGAATACCACAACACTCCTGAAGGATGTCACTCTGGTTTGAATGGGAGCTAGAAGTTCAAAGACTAATTATTGTTGTAAAATGTATGCATTTTTATATTAAATTACATGTAGCAYCTTTGTAAATATTTTTCATAATAAAAGTTGCAAATATTGACAAGTGGCGGCTTCAGTTTCATGACTTTGATTTTTTTTTCTTATTTTTGAAGCAGGATTTTGGGTTTTAAGAGTTTTGTTTCTAAATAAAAAGAAAATTTTAAATG